TGGAGAGGAACACAGTCGAATTTTGATAATTAATGAAAACACTGGAAGTAGTGCCATTTAGATCTCTTATTTTACTTTTAAGCCACGCTGTATCCTGTACTTTTTGCGCTTTGGATCAGGTAGATGTAGCCCAAAACTCCCAAATTTAAATGGACAAAATTGTCCTCTTGGTATGCCTGAAGCTGCTGAAGTCAAACCCCCGCGTGCCCCAACAGTGCCTCATCCAATCCTAGCTCTACCCCCTTCTCCTCCCCCCTCCCCCCTCCGCCCCGTCCTCTCCCACTGAGGTGCTTGATACTGGATTTTTTAGGACAATAACAACGATGTCAATAATATCACTAATAAAAACAATAATAATAGTCCGAAAATACCTGTATCCTTTGTGTGGCATCACCAACAAAAGCAATCCTTCGTTTCTCTAAATCATTCATTCCTTTGAAATAATCAATAACGGTGCCATCAAGATCTGAAAAAAAAAAAAAAAAACCAAAAAACAATGAAATAGAAAGGGAAGAAGGGGCCATGGAGGCACGACCAAGAAGTGATCACTCCAAATGGGAATGTCACAGTTGTGGTAGACAAGGAATGGTAGTAAAACCTCAGTACCATGCGTGCCAGTATAAATGGCTGGAATTGATAAATTTAAGTTGTACTTGGGCTGGGAACATTCCCTTAAAATTTCGACTTTCCGGTTTTGCTGGTTCCCAAGTTAACGATTTTCCAGCCAGGAGTATTCACGGGGTCGATACGTGAAAACCACACATGTAGGTCAAAAACTTCTTATGAAATTGTAAAAATCTAGAGATGTTAAACTAACATAAGGGCCATTAGATGGCCGAGTGGAAAATGGAAATCGAAGTATTTCATTCCACAGAGATACTCATTTTCGCATTCGGAAAACGGCGAAAACGTATGGCTAAATCGTTATGATCTTATGAATCGTCTAATTCATATTAGTGCAAATTTTGAAGATAGCTGAGCAGAAATGGAACTACACTCTATCTCCAGCACTTTTTCGCCTTGCACACTTTACTTACATAACTATCCCTCTTCAATGGCTGATCGCATAACAAGCAAATAACGGCTTTTTTTTTGAATTTTGTTCATTTTCATGAATAATTTAAAGATTAATAAAAATAACGATGAGGATAGACAAAATCTGTGAATAAGGAAAGCCAGATGCTTGAAAAATTACCTAAGAAAAGTGAGTTAACTGTGAGATCACGCCGATTCGCATCGAGTTGCCAATCGGTTGTAAATTCAACCTTTGCGCGACGACCATCACAAACCAGATCAACTCTGAACATATCGTTTTTTTCCTGTTGCATTTTGATTATTTCTAAGAGTTTAAGAAATTTTAAAGACACAAACAATGAATATCCCTGGCTAGGAGACGGGGAGACGACGGGGGCCTGAAGTCTTCTATGTGTTAACATATGCAGTTTGTTTGGCGCTGTTGGCCCATCGTGGAGA